GTCTAGCTATAGCCTTTCTATATTTGAGTTTGTAAAAGTATTAAATCAAAAATTTATGACACTGCATGTCACCTCAAATCTAAGGTAACTTATGGCAATTGAGGACTAAACTATTTTTAGGCATTGCTAAGATTTGATCCGAGGTTGTTTAGAGTGACTTGAGATAGTTTTTCATAAGGATGCTGATTGGTGCACACTCGGTGTTGACCCGGGTGTGCACCCCCACATAGTAAAAAAAAAAAAGGGACCGGGTGGGGTTGGGTTTTTTTTTTTTTCAATGGGGGAGTGCGCACACCCGGGTGTTGACCCGGGTGTGCACATATCTTTATCCTTTTCATAAATTATAAATAACAATTTGAAGGATTTTTTTGAATTTGTGCCATTAACATGTAGTTATACATCCTTCTGATATTAATTTGTATTGAAAATAATAAAAAAAAAAAGTCAAGTAGATTATTTTAATTATAGATTATTTTAATTAGTCAAGTGATTAAATAAAGATCAACTCTAATTTTTTAAAGCCAATTAATATTAAAAAATTTGTCCTTAAACATGTGCCCTACAAGTTTAAAAAAATAAAAGGATAATTTGAAATCTATGTGTAAAAGTGGAGATATGAAATGTAAACAATGATATACTTACATTTGATCAAATTTAAAATAAATAATGTATTGGCTAAGCTCTTGTTGGTAGAGATTATAGTATGTCATGTATATACATGGTTGTGCTATTGTTAGGGCAAGGTCATATGGTAAAATTAAGGTCATTATGAACTACACTAGCTATAATGCCTATTATTCTCTTAGCGCAAATAGATGTGTTCATTTGTCATATTTCAATGAACATAGTTGCAATTATGCCGACTTGTTGAGTAAGATTTGATTTTTTAGAGAGATTAAAGGAGTAATTTCTAACGAATTTCTTAGTTTCGATATAGATGGCATGTCTTTGATTGTACCAGAAAGAAATTAATCTTATTATATGTGAAAATTAACCTGAAGATACCCAACTGTTTAAAAAAAAAAAAAGCCTTCATCAGTTGGGGCAAATTAAAGTCCATATTTATTTTTCTTTTCTCATGTTTTTCAAAAAAATAATAATAATAACAAACTTTCATCATCCAACTCAAAAACCCATTTGATTAATAAAACTGTCAAAAAGTACTCATAATTTTTTATTTTTATTATTTCGTTCCTTCAACAAAAAAGAAAGAAAAATAGAAATCAAGAGAGAAGTTGGAATCTGCAGGTTTGAAATACAATAGACCGAGAAAGAAGAAATAATCAAGATCATGCAATCTATATATCATAAAATGCTACTTAATTACTATTTTGATATATTAGAACAAAGCTGAGGGAACTAACACACATCATCATCATCCTTCACTTTACACT